CAGAAAAAAAAAAAAAAAAAAAAATAAACACATCTTAGTAAAACCAATACCTTCTCATCTTCGCATCGAAGCTAAAAAACACATCATAGTAAAATTAATACCTTCTCAGCTTCGCATCGAAGCTAAAAAACCTAACATAGGGGGGTCGTGGCATAGTTGTGTCCAGTTTAAATGATATCTTAGAGTGATTAAAATCACTATTATAAAAAACGCATCGATGCAAATCTAAATTCTAAAATATCTAATAATAAATAATCTAATAAAAAAGTAGGTTAAGTGAGAGCTGAGAAAATAAATGATAGCTACTGTAATATTATATTATTACATATAATATTAATATATAATATGATGTTATTATTTGTTCATGTATGTCAAATACTTTGATTATACAAGATCACCATAACAGGGTTCTCTTATTTAAAATACAAAATAATCCTTTAACTATACGATAAAATCTCCCTCTTGTAGAAATTATTAAGTAACGCCTACACGCTGGGACCCTCTTTTAATTAACCAATTACAATTCAAAGCCTCAGCTTCCAGGATCACGATAGAGATCGCTGGGCTACCCCCTTCAAACTATAAAAAGCTATTTTTCCCCATCTAAACCAGTTCTTTTGACGATTTTAAAATACACAAAATCTACGACACTCTACTCAAGATTTCACTCACCGGGACTTAGTCGATTTTTTAATTAATTTGGACTTAGAATATTTTTCAATTTAAAAACACTTAGTCGATTTTTAATTAATTTGGACTTAGAATATTTTTCTTTAAAACTAAATGACACTTAGAAATTTTAAAATTAATTTTGTTTTGGTGAATCTTTTAATTAAATTTAATTTGTTCAATCATTAATAATATTTTATTTTTCTTGTTGTGGAAATAAACATCAGATAATATTTTAAACATTACATTTTTTTAAAATTATTTTATTTTAATAATAAATCCAACCTAAATTTAGACTTTTATTTAATAATAAAAAATTATTGTGAGCTTTTCTTATTGGGTAGCTAGTCTCGTTGCTAATGTCTTTGTTTTAACAAACATCGCGCCGGCAGATAGAGTAAAGGTTGCAAGTAGATATTGTTCTAGAAGTAGGAATGTTAGGTTAGAATATATTTGTAAGCCTATGCGTATTGGGTAGCTAGTCTCGTTGCTAATGTCTTTGTTTTAATAAACATCGCGCCGGCAGACAACGCAGAGAAACTTACGAATATATTTGCAGTGTTTAATTTTTGTCTTGGTTATTATTGTGCCGCATCCTTTCAAGGTGCTTTATTTTAGCACCGGGACACATTGGGCCACCACAATTCTGCCTTTATAAATTTTTTACATAGATATAGATATTTCTGAATCTTGTTTTGGCCAGGCCAGAGGAAAATTTAAGAAATATTGGTATCAATCTCTCAATAAAAAAATATACTCTCTAAAAAAATACTTATTCAATAAACGTAAAAAAAATCAATAAGTAAAAAAAAAATCAAAATTGTTTTTATAATAAAATACAGAATGTTTAAAATCTTTTACAAGTAAGATCAGTCTTAGACTTTGTGTAATTAAATCATATTACTTAAAGTCTTGAGTCGTTTTTTGTAATTAATTATATAGACTATAGGACATATAGTGTAAATCGTATACGTAGTGCGTTTAATACGGAAATCAACACTGGATTACTTGAAATATTATTGTATTACACAGGACGTAAGGTAAGTACAATTTAACCTATGCTTTCGAACTTCCAACAATCTATTGCGTGATAAACCATTAATAATTAATGAGAGAAACAATTAATGAGAAAATTAATTTATATAAAATTGAAAACAATTAAATCTACAAAAAAACTTAAAAACTTATAATAAATAATAAACATAATAATTTACTAAGTACCGCCAATTTCTTTTTATATTTAACCTATGCTTTCTCTTATTTTCTATTTCTTTTCTTTTCTTTCTGTTTATTTTTGGTTTATTACAAAAACAAAATAAAAAAAAACATCTTTTTTTAACATATTTTATTGTCTCCGTTTTTTACATCGTCAGCGTTATTTGTGTTTATTTATTCACCAATGTTATTAGTTTGTGCATGTTATCATAGATTAAAATAATGTTCTTATGTATAAATATAGTTTATAAATTTATTGAATAATTTATAAAAAGTCGACAATACAATATTATATGATAATAGACATTTGTAACACTAGAAAAACTGAGATACGCACTAAAGACGTCTTCAGGTCAAGTTAACCTGGTCAACTTTATAGAAAGGCGAATTTAAAGTGTTCTTTTTAACTAATTTAGAAAAATTGGCGGGAGGCCGTATTTATGCGGAAATAAAATGGGCGGAACATGAATTATCCGAAATAAATATCTACGAGACGTATATTACTGGAACTGTATAATTACGGAAACTTTAAAAACCGTACTGTAAAATTCAGGGTCGTTAAATTTCGGACTGTAGAACGCCGAACTATAAAAATCCGGGAAATATTATTATAAGTGGTTCTCAATTTGCTCTGTAGTTCCATATAGTTTTATTTCATGAATACCTACTGAATCACGGTGATTAGATTATTATTAATTATCAATATTAATTAGAATATTGACCATAGTGTTTTAAAATTATTGTTGTATAGTCCTACAAATTGAAATTAGACATTAGTTTTTTCATATCTTTTACAACAGTACAGCTGTTATGAGAGGTAAATTAATTATTTGTTTATATTCAACTTGAATAGATTACACAATTTTTGTAAGATGGACACTGCAAAACAATTAGAACATAATTGAAAATAAAAGTTGAGTTCAGGGTTCAAGAAAACGAATTTTTCGTGTAAATAAGCTCAACAAAGAATTTTTTTTCTTAAAAAAATAAAGTAATGATATGAAATTTAAGGATATCATGTTTTCTCTTCTTGCTCCTCTTTGCCTTATCATCTCCATGTGATTATTTATGTTTCTATGGGTCTACCCCCCTCAGTCTTCTGACTTTTACTAGATGTACAAAACGAAATTTATAAAAACACTTTGCACATATGTTTTTTGGATAAGCGATAATACTAAAAGAATTAAAACATCGTTATAAATGCCATTATCAATAAATATTCAATATCTTTAAATATTTTTGTACGATGTTAAGTGTATTAGCTATGATGATGCAATATATTATTTATATAATTAATAAACCATATTAAATTTTCACATTTAACTGAAATTTCATATTTTTTATATTTTTACCTACCATTTAGTTTTATTCTAATGTATAGCTTATATTTATTTTAAAATTACATACAATTTTATTCGATAAACTATTAATATATACATTTATGTTTTATAGAATAAATACTTCAATATCAAATACATTTTTTTTACGACCAATAAATTTAAATAGTATTATTTTGAGTGATTATTTAAGTATTACTTAAAAATAAATATAATATAGGTAAATTTAACATCATCAAACTTTTGTAAAATGTCGTTTAAAGAAAAAAATTTTTTTTTGTAACTTGATTCAAAATAGTATTTTAGATATTTAAAATGATACTAAATAAATTTAACAAAATCTGTTTGTTACAGGAGAATCACTAATAATATAGTAGGGTTTGAGTATTTGAGATAATTTTTGTGATTGATAGACATTATCCTTTTTCTTAGTATTAATTACAACTTGACACAATGTCTCACATTAGCAGTCCTCATATCGAATTTTATAACGTCCTCTATCTTTTTTTTGGTTTTCCTGTACCTCTTCTTCTTTAAAAAATATCAACGTTCGTCAATTTTAATAATTGTATTTTTTGGAGGATTTTTTCAATTTTTGACAATAATGTTTTCAATTTAATACGTTTTGTGATCTTTTACGTATCGTTAAGAAATAACTGTCCAGTAAGAACTGAAAAAAAGTAACAGACATACACAAAAAAACCCCATTATGGTAAAGATAATATCATCTCAGTTTCACATCGAAGCGAAATAATGTAAAATATATAGAAGTACATTTATATGTATATAATTTAAATTTTATTAATAATTTATCTCATTTTATTAAAACAAGAATGTGTTTGTGCCGATCACGAACTTTTTTTTACATTCAAGTATAAATAGATTGACTATAATAATTAAGCAAATAATGTTTTTAAATTAAATAATATCAAAGAATAATCAATTATACCAGAGAATTTTTATATATAACCTATTTAACTAAAAAAATGTAGTTATTCAGAATATATTATTTAAGTAAAAATAAGAAGAATAAAAATGGAGGTGAGTAACATATTTCATATGAAGTAGTTGATTGAAATCTAAGAAATTATTTCATTTTATTCCAGAAATGGCAATTGGTATATTTTTTTATGATAATTTCCTGTTTCATATTTAACGAAGGTAAATAGATATATAAACTTATAAAAATATAAATTTCAGTAGCTTATAATAATTAGGCGATATTTTGTAGACGATTGCTGCTCATTCCATTCTGGTTTCACATTTGCTTTATTTTTAATAACAAAAATGTTGTAATCATACTATATTTTTCAAAATAAACTTTTTTGTTAATATTGTTCATTTTTTTGTTAATTTGGCGAATTTCAGGTATCATAATTTACAATTCTTAAATAAAAAAAAGTTTTATAATTATAATTGAACTGTTGGTGTCTTAATATGCAATTGTTTAGTAATCTAAATAAAATTCGATTACAAAAAAAAAAATAAAAAATAATTATTGTACTCATTTAGGTATTAAAAATCAATATTCGGGTGAAAAAAAAATATGCCCATTTGAAAAAGGTACAACAAGAATGGCTGCTAAAATTGGTGACATAGAAACATTAAAACTAGCTTACGAAAGTAATTGTGAATGGGATAAATATACAACTACTGAAGCTGCTGCAAATGGACATTTTGAATGTTTAAAATATGCCCACGAAAATGGATGTCCATGGGATGTAGGTACAACCGAAGCAGCTGCAAAATATGGTAATTTAGAAAACTTAATATATATTCACAAAAATGGCTGTAAATGGGATAAAACAACAACAAGTGCTGCTGCTGAATATGGGCATGTTGAATGCCTAAAATATGCACATGAAAATGGATGTCGTTTAAATAGAGGCATAACTCATTCTGCAGCTTTAGGAGGTAATTTAGACTGTTTAATATACGCACATAAAAATGGTTGTCCATGGGATAGAGGCACAATATTTGCCGCTGTCACAAGAAATAATTTAAACATTTTAAAATATGCCCACGAAAATGGATGCCCATGGGATAAAGGCATAACCGAAGAGGCTGCAATAAATGGTAGTTTAGATTGTTTAAAATATCTTCATAATAATGGCTATAAATGGGATAAAACAACAACAAGCTCTGCTGCTTCAAATGGACAATTTGAATGTTTAAAATATGCACATGAAAATGGATGTCCATGGGATAAATACACAACTGTAATAGCGGCACAATGTGGTCATTTCGATTGTTTAAAATATGCACATGAAAATGGGTGCCGCTTGAATGAAAGCATAAGCGGATATGCAGCTCTAGGAGGTAATTTAGATTGTTTAAAATATGCACATGAAAATGGGTGCCGCTTGAATGATAGTATCAGTAGATTTGCTGCCCTAGGAGGTAATTTAGATTGTTTAAAATATGCACACGAAAAAGGGTGTTTATGGGACAAAGAAACAACTAGAAACGCTGCTCTAAATGGACATTTTGAATGTTTAAAATATGCACATGAGAATGGATGTCCATGGGATGCCGGTACAACTGAAGAAGCTGCAAAATATGGTCATTTAGACTGTTTAAAATATGCACATAAAAATGGCTGTAAATGGAGTGAAAAAACAATAAGTAACGCAGCTTTGAAAGGACATTATGAATGTTTAAAATATGCACACGAAAATGGGTGCCGCTGGAATGAAACCATAAGTAGATATGCTGCTCTAGGAGGTAATTTAGATTGTTTAAAATATGTGCATGAAAATGGATGTTCATGGGATGTTGGTAATTCAAAAATTTTAGAATATATAGACGAAAATGGATGGGAGTGTAATGATGGCATTACTACTGCAGCTACCAAAAGTGGTAATTTAGAAATTTTAAAATACGCACATGAAAATGGTTGTTCATTTGATGATGGTATAACTACTGCAGCAACCGTAAGAGGTAATTTTGAAGTTTTAAAATATGCACATGAAAATGGATGTCCATTAGACGATGGAATAAATATTCTCGCCACCGATAGAGGTGATTTTGAAATTTTAAAATATTTATATCAAAATGGATTTCCATGGGATAAAAGAACAACAAAAGTAGCAGCACGTTATGATAATTTGGAATTTTTGAAGTATGCCCATGAAAACGGATGCAAATGGGCTTTTGGTACAACTGCAGCTGCTGCTTTAAATGGTAATTTGGATTGTTTGAAATATGCCATTGAAAATGGATGTTCTTGGGATGAGGGAACAACTAGAGAAGCTGCAGCAGGAGGATATTTAGATTGTTTACGTTATGCTCATGAAAATGGGGCTAAATGGGACGAAGGTACAATAGAGACAGCAGCATTTTATGGTAATTTAGATTGCTTAATATATGCCCACAAAAATGACTGTAAATGGGATATAGGCACAACAAGCGCCGCTGCCTTTATGGATCAATTTCATTGTTTAAAATATGCCCATGAAAATGGATGCCCTTGGGATGATGGCATAACTACTGCGGCTACTAAAAATAATAATTTAGAAATTTTAAAATATGCACATGAAAATGGATGCCCGTGGGATGATGGAATAACTACTGTAGCCACTAAAAGTGGTCATTTAGACATTTTAAAATATGCTTATGAAAATGGATGCCCGTGGGATGATGGTATAACTACTGTGGCTACTATAAGTGGAAATTTAGAAATTTTAAAATATGTACACGAAAATGGATGCCCGTGGGATGATGGCATAACTACTGCGGCTACTAAAAATAATAATTTAGAAATTTTAAAATATGCACATGAAAATGGATGTCCGTGGGATGATGGAATAACTACTGTGGCCACAAAAAGTGGTCATTTAGAAATTTTAAAATATGCACATGAAAATGGATGCCCGTGGGATAATGAAATAACTACTGTAGCCACAAAAAGTGGTAATTTAGAAATTTTAAAATATGCACATGAAAATGGATGCCCGTGGGATGATGGAATAACTACTATAGCCACTAAAAGTGGTCATTTAGACATTTTAAAATATGCTTATGAAAATGGATGCCCGTGGGATAATGGAATAACTACTGTAGCCACAAAAAGTGGTAATTTAGAAATTTTAAAATATGCACATGAAAATGGATGTCCGTGGGATGATGGAATAACTACTGTGGCCACAAAAAGTGGTCATTTAGAAATTTTAAAATATGCACATGAAAATGGATGCCCGTGGGATGATGGCATAACTACTGCGGCTACTAACAGTGGAAATTTAGAAATTTTAAAATATGCACATGAAAATGGATGCCCGTGGGATGATGGAATAACTACTGTAGCCACTAAAAGTGGTCATTTAGACATTTTAAAATATGCTTATGAAAATGGATGCCCGTGGGATGATGGTATAACTACTGCGGCTACTAAAAGTGGAAATTTAGAAATCTTAAAATATGTACATGAAAATGGATGTTCGTGGGATGATGGAATAACTACTGTGGCTATGGTAAGAGGTAGCTTTGAAATGTTTAAATATCTACATGAAAATGGTTGTCCATGGGATGAAGAAACAACAAAAGTTACTGCTACTTATGGTAATTTACAATTCTTAAAGTATGCTCATGAAAACAAATGTAAATGGGCAATTGGCACAACTAAAGCTGCTGCTTTTAGAGGTAGTTTTGAAATTTTAAAATATGTACATGAAAATGGATGTCCATGGGATAGTGGCACAGTTACTGCGGCTATTCAGAGAGGTAGCTTTGAAATGTTTAAATATCTACATGAAAATGGTTGTCCATGGGATGAAGAAACAACAAAAGTTACTGCTACTTATGGTAATTTACAATTCTTAAAGTATGCTCATGAAAACAAATGTAAATGGGCAATTGGCACAACTAAAGCTGCTGCTTATAGAGGTAGTTTTGAAATTTTAAAATATGCACATGAAAATGGATGTCCATGGGATAGTGGCACAGTTACTGCGGCTATTCAAAGAGGTAGCTTTGAAATGTTTAAATATCTACATGAAAATGGTTGTCCATGGGATGAAGAAACAACAAAAGTTACTGCCGCTTATGGTAATTTAGAATTCTTAAAGTATGCTCATAAAAACGGATGTAAATGGGCCATTGGCACAATTAAAGCTGCTGCTTTTAGAGGTAGTTTTGAAATTTTAAAATATGCATATGAAAATGGATGTCAATGGGATTATGACACAACTAGGGCTTCTGTGGCAAGTGGTTGTCTAGACTGTTTAAAGTATGCTCATGAAAAAGAGTGTCCATGGGATGAAGGAACTTTAGTTACAGCTTCTGCGCATGGTAATTTAGATTGTTTAAGATATGCACACGAACATGGATGTAATTGGATCGAAGGTACGACGAGAGGGGCTGCTGCAAATCGAAATTTAGAATGCCTCAAATATGCCTATGAAAATGGATGTGAATGGGATGAAGGCACAACAAGGGAAGCTGCTGCGAGTGGATGCATTGGTTGTCTGAAATTTGCTAATGAAAATGGATGTAATTGGGATGAAGGTACAATAGTAACAGCTTCTGCGCACGGTAATTTAGATTGTTTAAAATATGCCCACGAAAATAGATGTAAATGGGATGAAGGCACTACAAGACTTGCTGCTGCAAATGGTCAGTTTCTTTGTTTAAAATACGCCCACGAAAATAATTGTCCATGGAGTAGAAATACCATTTATGAAGCTAGTGTAAGAGGTTTTGTTGATATAATTTACTACGCATACGAAAATAGCTGTCCTAATTAGTTTTGAAATATTATTTATCTGTGACATTATATTTTAAATAAATTCTATAAGCCAAAATGTCAATCGTTTTATTGGTAGCAATTATATTATTTTACTTGCTCAATAAAAATTCTTATTGAAATNTTATATTATTTTACTTGCTCAATAGAAATTATTTTTGAAATTATGACCAAAATTTAAAAAAAATATATCTGAATTTTTAAATCATGTATTCAATATTTATTTATTTATATGAAACATCAGTATGTTTCAATGTTTTGGAAATTTCCATTAAATTCGATCGAATTTTCAAATAAAAGAACATTTGTAAATATTTCATATATAATGTGTTAAAAAAAAATACAAATGTTTTCAATCCATTATTTTTACCATGGTATTAAATTAAAAAAAGTAATAGCAAATTTAAACCAAAAAATTAAAATATGTGAAATTGTAATTTTTAAGGATAATTTAATCAATTAAATATTTATTTTTTATGGTTTGATTATATTTTTTTATAAAACATTTTATATTTATTTGACGTGCGGGTAAGATAAATTAATTACACCCACTCATATCAAACGTCACATGATTTCTAAAAAAAAAATTTATGGTGCAATTATTCGCATAGAAGAGTAATACGCCCTACTTTAGAATAAATCCAATTTTTTTTAACTACTTGTTATTAACAGTAAATAATTTTTTAAAACTTTGATTTGATTTGATTACTATTCTCTATTTTATTATCAAATTGAGGGATGATTTAATGAGATATCGTCGTGAGCGTCATAACCCGATTTTGAAATTTTTATAAGGTTTTTAATTACTAATTAATTAATAATAACAGGTGTTAAATAATTATATTATCAAAATACATTCTATTGAGCTATTATAACACACTAGGGCTATATACTATATAAATAATTATTGTAAACAATTTAACTTTGATAAAGATAATCTTAAAATGCAGTATAAAGTATATTTTAATGATAACTACTTAAATAATTTTAGTATTTATCAAGGTATCAGGATCTTTTATTTTATTTGTTTTTTCATTCATCTCTTTATCATTACCCGCTTAACGATTAACGAAAAATGTAGATAAAAAAAAAGATAATTTTTTTATTTTTACTCATCATTTTCCTATTTTGATTATAAAATAAACATCCCCATTGGTAGGTTGTTGTTCCCAAACTGGGAACTAATATTATATAGTTTAAACATAATTATAAATTTATACAAAAATTAATTATTAATACTGAGTAATTATACTCGTGGGTATAAACTTATCAAAATGTAATTTAAAATATGCCCTACGTCCTAGCTTTTTGTATTTTTTTATAAGTTCAATTTTAAATGTCATCTTAATCATTGAAAATATTTTACATGTAAAATTTGGAAAATAAAAATCTGATTAGTTTAATGAATTGTCAGATTATAATATCTTAGAATATAATATTATTTTAATAATAGTAAAATTAATAGTTAAAAAATATCAGAAATTTATAAATTGATTATTTAATTAAAATAGTTGCTACTCGTATTCAAAAATTCTCAGAAACTTTTAAAATAGGTCTGGATGTCCTTTGTTCATAATCAGTTTGATGCAAGTTGAGGGGACATAGTGATCAAAACAAAAGGACTGTAGACTTAATAATAAAAAAACACATCATAGTAAAATTAATACCTTCTCAGCTTCGCATCGAAGCTAAAAAACCCAGCACAGTGGGGTCGTGGCATAGATGTGTCCAGTATAGATGATATCTTAGAGTGATTAAAATCACTATCATAAAAAACGCATCGATGCAAATTTAAATTCTAAAATATCTAATAATAAATAATCTAATAAAAAAGTAGGTCAAGTGAGAGCTGAGAAAATAAATAATAACTACAAAAAAAACCACATAGTAAAATAATATTAATATGAATTTCTTCTCACGAGAGGAGACTACAGTAATAGGATCTTTGATATTTATTGAAGTTATTGTATCTAAATGAGATAAAAATCAAATGAGTTAAACATTATTTTCTAACTCAAAAAGAATTAAGAAAAAATTCAGTGCCACAGGCGTGAAAGACCCAAGTGTTACCGTCTCAGAAACCGTACGTCGCATTCGTCACTTTATAAAAATGGAAATTTAGCTAGTTCAAATTTTCAAGTTATTTTTCTCAACTTCAAAGAAACAAAAAAATTTAAATAAGTTTAACTTTATATACTATATTAATATTTATTTATAATTTATTTATGAATATCTATACTCCCCTTGTCAGGTATTTTAAAATAAAATAAAATACAAAACCCAGAATTTTAACACAAAAAAATCATATTTTTGAATACGGTATTCATTTTCACCACGAAGACAAATCCAGAGGTCAATTTTTTTTTTTTCAAGTTAAATTATATTACATAAGCTTTAATTTAAGATATATATAAAAGTGTCAGTATTTCTGGAAGATTTTCAAAAATTAAATTGAAAATGTCCTAGTTTCAAGACGCATGTTTAAAGTTTTGACCCCCTTTGTATTAAGAGGTATGATCCGATTTACAAAAAAAGTGTGTCAGATGAAAGGGGTATTTCAAAATTATTTATAAAAAATTAATAATATTGATCCATAAATTTCTCCAAAAGTTATAGCAATATAAATTTAATAATATAACATATAAAATCGAGAATTTTTTCACGAAATCGTATGTTTTTCTTTAACTTTGATATCCGTTTTCACTATGAAGATGATGCTTATAATAAAAAAAAAAAAAAATTATTTTATCATAACTTTTAGCTCAATTGGCAAGTTTGAAATTGACATCATTAAATAGAAAATTTTATGAGAATTAAAAAAATTGTATCGTTAAGATTAATATGCAGTTTGAAAGTTTTATAATTACTATTTATTGTAAATTTATCATAAAATCTCAATATTTTTTTTGCTTTTTTATCGTAATAGATAACTTAAATAGAAGCAATAGTAATAATTTCCTAGTAACTTTTGGTGTTTGAAAAGATTCTGCAATTGAAATATTCAGAACTTAATTAATTTTAATGATTTACTTTAACTAAATGAATCAATAAAAACAAAGTTGTTAAAAAGATTTACTCAATTGAACGTATAATAAAATTTGATTCAGTAAATAACCCTCTAACCGAGATACGCACATACTCCTCACTCATTGACATTCATAGGAATGTAAGCACCTTTTGTACAAATGTATGGGAATCCGAATGGCGGCGTACACCTAATAATAAACTAAGGGAAATAAAAAATACTACAGAATACTGGCCCAAACCTCATACATCAAATCGCAAAGACGAAGTAGTTATCAACAGACTACGTATTGGCCACTCAAAGATGTCCCATGGTCATCTTATGTGCAGAGAAGATCCTGCAATGTGCCAAACCTGCGGAGAACCTCTCACAGTCAAGCACCTCCTTGTCCAATGTCGTAACCACATAGATACCAGAAAAAGATTAGAAATGCCTGATAACCTTTTTGAAGCCCTCAGCCCAACCCACGACAACACCATCAAAATAATCTCATTCCTTAAACTAATCGATATGTACAACTCAATTTAATCAACCATTGTATATTTGTATTAAACTAGTTTAAGAAATACTATGTATAATCATATATGTAACATAATAATTTAATTTTGTTCAAGCTAATAACCTTAGAAGTTGAAGCTTAAAAAAAAAAAAAAAAAAATTTGATTATAATTGTAAAAATTCATTATCAATTCAGAAGAAACTAATAATCATTTTTTTTTTAGAAATGATTTATATAGCAACATGTTACCAACAAATTTGGAATATTATAGTCTAGTAGTAGTAGCAAACACAAATAGAGTAAAAAAATTATTAAATTACAAAGTAAAATGATTTAATTTTGCATTTGAAATCTATCATATCAAAATTGATTCGTCAATAAATATTTTGTAAACATTATAAATGAATGATTTTAGTTGCCTGTATGGAGAAAATGGGATAAGTAACTGTTTAATTGATAAATTAGAATTTTTTTGCAATTTTTGAGAGTAATATCTTCAACTAGATACAAATTGTAATCATTTGACATATTATTGAAAAAATTGGTCAAGTGAGAGCTCAGAAAAATGAGCGAAAAACACAAAAAAATAATAATAGTAATTAAATTTAGTATGAAATTGATATTCAATAATTTAGTATTGCAATTTATACGGAGATATTAAAAATAATAAAGTAGTTGTATATTCCTTTACTTTTAACGTGTATATAAATTTAAAGGGATTGATGCAATACTTTTTAGTAAAAAAATTTTGTTACTTATGAATAAATACACTGGACTACAAGGAACTTCCATCAGAAGCAAAAATATACTTCTCTAAATCAACTTTCGCGCTGTTTTCAAATCTGCAATTAGACTTTTTCTATCTTTCCTAATTTTTTATATAATAACAAATTACATATAAAATAATAATTAAAAAAAAAAAAAATTGTTTTCAAATTATTACTGAATTGATTTTTAATATGTTAAAAATAATCAGTCCAAATTTTCATTTTTAACCTATTTTTTTGGTTCTTTAAAGTTGATGAAATGTTTTTGTGAAAGTTTATTGTAAAAAAAAATTAAATATGTTGTCGTAACTTTTAGTTCAATTGCAAGTTTGAAATTGACATAATTAAATAGAAAATTTTATGAGAATTTTTATTTGCAATGCAAAAATAAAGTTTATAGAACCATAATTTCTAAATATTAGTTGTTTTGATTTTTTTTTTAAACTTCTCACTGAAACTTCGTTGAATGACTCATTTTACTCTAGTGAACATATCACGAATTATAATGTCTTTCGTTGTGACCGTTCATATTAAAGCATTTCATGTTCTTGTGGTGGTAACGTACTAAAGATATTCCTTCTTTTTTAATTAACGTTCCCAATAATGTTACTGAACAATTGTTTGTCTCCTTTAAATTAGGTTCTATTTCTTTTGTTATAAGCTCTGACTACCTTTCTCCTTCCAATGAATATTACAACATGTTCCTCAACACAAATCTCATTCCTCCAAATTCCCTCCATGGTTTCATTCTGAATGCGAAATCTTATGTTTGAAAAATGGCATACTCATTATAAATTTAAAAAACCTCCTCTCTTGATGACTATCG